CTGTCACGGTGCTATTTTCTTCCACATTTAATAACAAGAATTCTTGTACATTCTTCGGTATCATGATACTGATTGTGTGCTAAAATAATTCAGCTGACTTCTCCATGCCTGCTTACAGGGCAATGGTGGGACTAACTGTAGAGATGAAGGAAGAAGAGGGTGCATTTGTAGCTGCTGCTGAAAATATGTTACTCTGTGCCTGGGAGGAAGAAGATGAGAAATTCTTGGCTATCCACTCCATGGCCTCCTTCATGTACTCTGACTGTACATCATGCCCACTGTTATAAAGAAAGGCAAATGTGCCCTGTTTCTTAAAGTTGAAGCCCAACCACCACATTGGCCTGCTGATACAAAACATGCTTACACCTTACTAGCTGCAGGTAAAGTACCTCTGACTCTCCCTTTAGGCCTCTAAGACATTATGAATACAGGGGGTCTCCTCTTCACAGTTATAGCAATAAGAGGATGAAGAAGGTGGTGCTTTGGTGCACATGAAAACATAGTGATGTGATTAACTAAATTGTACTGCACTAATATGTGGAGATGTTGCCAGCATTGCATGGGTAAGGACAAAGTTCACACTACTGACCCCAACTTAAAGTAAAAAATAAGTAAGAACACATGAATTTAAATGAAAAAAATTAAAACCCCAATGAAACACAAAAAAGCCCTGATCATTCTCTTATTAAAGCCCAATAAAGACCAAGCAAAATGTTACTCTTATCATCCAATCCCTCTTATTAACTCAGATATAAAGATCCTTGGAAAGTCAATGCTTTGAGACCTAATCACTAATCACCTATCCGGTGGCAAATTACCAATCCACTTTAATATCTGGAAGGTCCATCAGAATGATTATTAATTGTCCATTCCATAACTTATAATTTGTACACTTGAAGTCTGGCATTAGAGCATGGATCTCTATGGACACTAGGAAGGCATTAGACACTGTGGAATTGCCCTATCTATTTTTAGTCTTACAGACATTCAGTTTTGACCCCAAATACGTTAAATTGATACAGTTATTATAAACCACTCCGGTAACCACAATTAAAATTAATCAGAATATCTCTGACACCTTCCCTAGCTGACATCCAGCAGCCAAGTAAAGCATCAGTTTCCGCTGACTTAGCAAGCCCACACAGGTTGGAGACTCCACTGACACAAATTAATTTAAAAAAAGTGACCGGGTGACATTGGCAGTCAAGCTAAAGGTGCTCAGGCAAAAGCTGAAGCAGATATTAGTTGGAAACAGCCTTTGGTTCCTTTCTCCTTGAATCCTTTTTGCAATCCAAAAATTACCCTGAACTTTATTTTTTTCCATCTAAATTTATGAAATGTAGTCTGAATTTAACATAATTTAAGAATTGGGATCAATTCTACTCACCACATAACAACAAATTAAATGTGACTTAGTGAAAGAAAGGGAGCTAGGTGGAGCTGACCTTTCCCTTCAGCACATCATGGTGTGTGCACAAATACAACAAGCATCTAACTGACTCTCAAATAGTGGATTGGCCATAATTAACAAATTAGTATTGTACTTTGGCTCAAGCAATCAGTCTATTTCCATCTTACATGCATGCTACGGAAATTGAAATCAAAACAGGTTTTGTTATTATTTAGGTTTTGTTGAGATTTAAACAGTTCTATTATGATGTCCTTTCATATAAACATATACAAATAAAATAAACCTACAATATTTAATGAGTTGGAAGCTTGTAGTATGTAGCTGCAGTAAAGTTTAGAATCAATTAGTAGCCTGGCATTTGTCAGCTAAAAAAGGTTTAATCTTTCAAGACTGAGCAGGCAGTTAATTAACAGACCAAAGTCTATCAGCGTTATTCACAAAAGGGTGAAGAGTTTGGAGAAGGCAGGAGAAGTGAACAATCTAGGCCAAAATAGCCAATTTGGAAAAATTCTCCCATTCAGCTCACTTTCCAGTTCAGCTATGTTGTCCTAGATTGTTCACTTCTCCTGCCTTCTCCATACTCTTCACCCTTTTGTGAATAATCCCCTATATTTTGAATGACTCTAAATAAAATTAAGTCACCTAAATGACCTAGTAATAGAAAAGCAAGCATGTAACTCCTACCTAATACCCACAGGACTAGCAGTACATCTATAGGGTTTTAACTGAAATAAAACATTGCAGGAAAATAAATGTCTTGTCCTATAAACTAAATGCAATACTATACCTGTAGGTATTGCACATTAGTGAGATTATACTACATTTCCATAGTAATCTTTACCTCTCAATGTTCCACTTGCCTTATTGATTCATTAGAAAGTGTAAGTATACAATTAAGTTCAATGGAGTATGTTTCCATGGAAGAAAATCTATCATTTGAATCACCCATTTGCTTTTTTATGCAAGTGACAATTGTACAAACATTGCCTTTGCTATGTTCTGGTGTAAGGAGGCTAACTCACCCAATCTCATGGAGATGATTTAAAAATGATCTGGCCAGCTATACGCTGGCTAAATGCTGTTGGTATGGCATTCTCACCACTAGATAGAGCTGATGAGCACAGAGTCCAGTAGCAAGAATGCTGTGCAAATGGCATTTGGCTCAGCAGATGATTTATAAAGCAACCCCCATGTTTCCCAACTCTATGCAGGGCAAAGTGACAGTGACTCTGCAAAGCCCCCCAACCTACTTAAACACACCTTGTCTGCATTGCTTCTTACTCTGTCCAAGCTCCTGGGTATGAGGAATCATGTGACCTGCTTCCCCAAGACAGGGCTAGGCCTAGCAGCCAATTTCAAGGCCACTAGCATTGGCAGGTAACCAAGGGAATTATATAATTGTTCCCCTAGTTACACTGCTGCAACAAAGCGTTGTGCAAACTGTTGGCACTATTTAAATACTGTATAATATTAAAATAATAATAATAATAACAACAAGGGAGTGCAGGCAAGTAAAGTATAAGGGTGTTGGGGAGGGCATTTTACAGAGACACTTTCACTTTGCCCTGCATTGGTAAGATAAATGTGTCTGTTCAGACTCTCTAAAGATGGCCAGACATCCTGATCTGAAGATCATGTAATGGGCAGTGTCAGCACTCTTTCTTTTCTCCATCCAGGTAACTGTGTGTCTAAAGTTCCCTATGCTTTATATGATATTTGAGGATAATCACATAAAGCAGCCCTCCCAAAAAATAAATGACGAAACGCAGATCATAGGCTTGTTCCATCAAGCTGCACCATCACATAATAAGATAATGTCTCTGGATCAAAGAATGAAATGTTACAGGTATTATAAACAACTGCAATTTTTATCTTGTAATTTTGATACCTGATATACAGTTCCCAAAGCTTTTCCTCTTAATCAAAAAAGGAAACTAGAGGACAAAAGTAGCAGGAGAAAAGCTATCGGCTTGCATATAATACTGTAACAAGAGCACTGAAAAATACACTAACATCCCATGGTAAACAAATGCCATGAGGGTTTTTTTTGCCAGAAGAAACATGCAAAGAATCCGAAACATGCCAAAAAAGGAGTTGGATTACATTATCAGTGGTCTGCCAATGGCCAAAGAGTAGTGGCAAAGGGAAAGATGGTGATTGTGGGGGATGGGACAAAGTGGCAAATGTGAGCCAGGACTTGTATCACACTAGAAGGAAAGTGTTACCGAATACTTACACATTATGGCAAGACCCCACACTCAACCAGGGAAACAACGTTCTGCTTTAAAAAAAAAAAAGAAAGTTTCAGGTCTATCACTCAGATTCTAGACTAGCAATATGGATGGATATCTACATGGCTGTTGAACATACAGTTTATAAAGGTATTAGTATAATAGGAGGCCTCTACATTGGATGTATATATATTTTCAGTGCAATTAACGATGTGCAAATACAGTACATAAATACTGTTTAAGTTCACATAAAAACAAGTTCATGTTGACTTGCAATGCTTTATTCCAGTTTCTATCTAAAATTAATTTTAATCTTGAATGTATTGGTACCTCTTGCAATTATCGCTCAGTATTGCATGCATTTGTTTTTCTTTAGCAGCTGTTAATAAATCTAGTCTAATCAGCATACATTGTTGAGCCTTAATTACAGCAGTACTAAGATTGATTTTAATTATGTTTAGTAATTAAAGGGAAACCTGACATGAAAGAAACATGACTGCTGCCATTGCTCACCTCTCCTAAAAATGCTAATTGCCTGGCTATCATTCTAACGCTCTTGTATTAATACCTCAACTCATTTATCTAGAGCTATACTGATAAGGAGTTCTGTCTTTTGTATATTTGTTTAGGTCAGCAATTCAAAGTATTATGGTCAATGTATAAGTGTAAAAGTCAGGCAACTAGCATTTTAGTTGGAGGTCATCATTGGCAGCCACTGCTGTTCTCTAATGCTTTATTGCTGGTTGCAATATAATTGTCAATATTTTAATATTGTGTTTAGACTTAACTGATGCTTGGAGTAAGGGAACAAATTAGTAACATGTGTAGAGATTTATATGTGCAAAGTAAACGTGTTCACTTGAAACATCCAATGATATGCATATGTAATTTATATATTATTTTTTTTAATTCTGCGCTAATAGTTCAATATTTGAAGTGAATATTTTTGACCTCACTTCACACCTTAGTAAATAAAGTCCTTATTTGGTTTTCTTGCACTTTTTGGATTACAGAGTACCAAACTTACAGGGTTATTCACAAAAAGGTGAAGAGTTTGGAGAAGGCATGAGAAGTGAACAATTGAGGCCAAAATAGATTATTTGGAAAAATTATCCAATTCAGCTCATTTTTCAGTTCAGTTATTTTGGCCTAAATTGTTCACTTCTCCAGCCTTCTCCCAAAAGTCACACTTTTGTGAATAACCCTGTTGGTTAATATGACTCAGAAGTATTACTGTATTTATGTTAGCAACTTTTAAAAAGTGAGAAGGTAGTACAAGTGATGGTATGGTACATTTTGTGAGACATGGTAGTGTTCTAAATATGTACAATTGTATAATTATGTGTTTTTCTAAACAGAAACTGGATTATGAAAGTAAAAGGCTGTACACCTTAAAATTGGAAGTTGAGAATACACATGTGGATCCACATTTTCACTACCTTGGTCCTTTTAAAGACACTGCAACTGTCAAAATCTCAGTGGAAGATGCCAATGAGCCCCCTGTGTTTGGAAGATCTAGCTATATGTTCAAGGTGCATGAAGACATTGAATTAGGAACAATAATTGGAACTGTAATGGCAAGAGATCCTGACACCATATCAAGCCCTGTAAGGTATGTTCTGGCTAAATGGTATTTTGTGCAGAAGCATTAATGTAAAAGTCTTATAAAACTAGAGCAGTGGAAGGGAAAAATGGGTACACTATTTATTTACCTATTACATTCCCAGTCTTGCAGTACGCTATGTTTTTTCCTTGGTAAAAAGTTTTGGTTCTACATCTGAGTTTTGTCAGTCAAGCAGGAAATACTGGCATTGAGATCTATGTGGAATCTTCTATTGCACAATGTGGAGCCTACCCAAACGTTCAACCAAACCATGCACTGAGTCTCACATGGCAATGGTCTATGGCCAATGACAGCATTGAACCATGCTGCCAGTTAATAGCTACTGCTTAATATGTCCTTCCAAACCGCAAGCGCAGGGCAATTGCATTTTGAATAGTGTTGAGAGATACTATTAGTCTATTCACTAAGCTGCCGTAGGTAGCCGAGTGAATGACCAACCTGAAGTGAAGGGAGCCGAACACTGTTCGACTATTCACTTCAGGCTGGTATGGCTGATTGCAGCCATACCGCTCCCGGCCGCCAAGGAGAGAAACACTGCTTTTTCTTTTTTTTTATTCTGACATGAAGCCGTGTGATAATAGAAAAAAACAAAAAAAATGTTTGGCCATAGGAATGCATTGCTAGATTATTGGCTATTTCAATTTGCAATAGCCAATAGCAAACTAGCTATTGTACCCGCCCTCTGCTGCTGTCAATCAGTAGTGGGGACCTGATGGAGAACTGCAGCAGAGGGCGGGTGCAATGCTAGTTTGCTCTTGACTATTGCAAATTGAAATAGCCAATAATCTAGCAATGCATTCCTATGGCCAAACATTTTTTTTGTTTTTTTCTATTATCACACGGCTTCATGTCAGAATAAAAAAAAAGAAAAAGCAGTGTTTCTCTCAATAGTGAAGCCAATGCCTCCTCCTGTGACATCACAGAGGCACCTGTGCCTATAAATACCGTCTTCCTCCACATAATGGTGCTTGGTTATTGCAGAGCTTTGCATCTAGTAGTCCTTAGCCTCTGTTACCTACCTTTCGTTTGACTTCCTGGTATTTTGATCCCCGACCTTGTTACTCGACCTCGATTGTATTTCTACCTGCCCTGATCTGCTATTATGTTAAGACTATGACAATTCTGATGCATCCAAAAAATGTTCTGCATGTTAAATGTTAAAATAAAAAAAGAGTGTTGAGTCCCCAAAAAAGTCCTTTGATGTAATCCATACGTCAATCACATTGTCCAGCGATGTAGATCCTTATCATTCACTGTGGACAATGGACGCTGACTCGCCAAAAAAAACCTGACTCCCGCCATCACGACCCATCCTGATGAACACCCGCCGCAAAATGTCATGACTTGTCCTGCTCCTTTGTTGACATTCGGAAGCAGAGCTGTTATTTTGAGTGTGGGTCATGTGGGTAATTTGGGTAATTTTCAGCGAGTCAGCTGCCATCATCCATCATGATTTATCAATCATGATGGATCTACATCACTGAATGATGTGATTGAATACATCGATGGATTTTTTTCAGCTTTTTTCAAATAATGGACTTTGCACTATGGTGTTGTGTGTTTATTTACTATCTTACTGTATTTGGGGAATGAGTAGGGATAACAACTACCCCTTACTCATTCATGAGGAGGGGCACCCAGATTTCTATAAGCCCCCCTGCCCGCAGACCCCCTCAACTACCAGGTCAGGGTTGTGGGGAAGAGGCTTTTGTCCTCATCTACATGGGGATAAGGTGTTTTGCCAGGGGGTCCTGTAGTGAAATTCATGAATCTACAGCTAACATTTTATTAAAGGAGAACTATGGGGTCAGTGTTTTTCCCCATGGTTCTCCTTAGGGTAATGGGAGGACACAAACTAGCGCCCTCCCATTACCCTAAGCTCAGTATACCGTGAGCTACATACTGAGACGCCGGAGACAGCTCGGCCAGCTTCGGCTCAGTGCGGCTCAGTCGAGCCGAGGCATATGCCTTCGGCTCAACTGAGCCGCTTGGCCAAGTTCGGGAGCTGTAAGGGCTATAGTGAATAGCCCGTACAGCAGCCCTTCGGTTCTACTGAACCGAAGGGGTCCTGTGGCTGAAGGATCGGCCGAAGCTACGGCTAGATCCGTCGGCTGCTTCGTGAATAGACCCCTATGTTTTAGAAATTGCTTAAGCATCTGCAGACTGGCCACTTTAGAGAAACGACTGGTCTGCAGCCCCATTGGGAGAACATACCTTTCTGTCCTACCATGCCTGCTTTTGTGTGCACACCTGGAACACACAGAGGACATTAGACAGTTGAGAGCAGTGTCACCATGCACAGAGCCAGTGCAATCAGTTCTGTGCTTGGAGCTACTGCTCTCTGCTGTCTAATGTCCTCTGTGTGATCACTGTGATCACTGTGATGGCCAAGCCATCTCCTTCCTCTTACAGCAGAGGCAGAGTAGAGCACAGGAGCTTTTCATTTTTAACCCTTTTACCCCCCTTCTCTCCTGTATACAGTATGTTAGCTCCATTCTGTCTCTACTCTGATATGTATCATAGCCCCTTCCTCTTCTTTATCCTGCAAATTTGTACATCACCACTTTATCTCCACCTCACTCTGTGTATGACCTGTATGTAGTGCACCATTACCATATTGGAACCCCTCAATACTGGCATGTATCTTCATTTTCCAAAAAGTGTGACAAAAATCAGATCGGACCTTGCTTTTGCTTTTTCATTTGATTCCCTTGCATCCCATCTAGACAGCAAATGTTTCCAGAATTATTATGTAATATTTTCCATGTTTACCACTACAAATTAAAAGAACTCCTGAACTATGAATTTTGCTTCAAACACCCAATTACATTCAGGAGATGTTTTTATTTTTTGTTTTATTTAGATTAGAATTGGATATGTGAGATTAACCCATTCGCTTTTACTTTAGTTAATCAATCACAAAGTGTAAGCATTCAATAAGCACACTTACGTGTAAATAGCTAAGGCCTGTAAAACTGCCAGTATAGTAATTCAAATACTAGAAGATGTATATTTTACATAGAACAGATGTTTGTTTAAACAGGTGGAAAAGACAAATCTGTTCTTTTGTTTCCTCTTAACTAAATGAGCCTTTGAGAATAACACAGATTATATGAGCTGGAATAAAACCTATACATTTAAAGAAAACATAAATAGCTGAAACTCTGATTTTTGGCAACATGCTTTAACCCCTTCATGACTGAGCTTTATGTCAGTTTCTGTTCGTAAATGACTGACCCACTTTTTACATTTTTGCTGTGTGATTCTTCCATGGCAGTAATATACTTTCTTACTAAATGTACCCACACATTATTAATTATTATATCAAACATGTGTACCTAATGCCTCACTTAGTTCAAATGAACAATAAAAAATGGAAAAAGCATTAATAAAACACTTTTTTTTCACAAACTTTAATTATTATTAATTGTTAGAAATCATTTTTTAAATAATTATAGTATAAAACATATATTTATATATAATTTTTATTTTCCTACTTTTTACGCTTACTTTTTTTAACATTATTTTTTTGTCAATTTATATCAAGCGGTCACTATGACTGCTTGATAAATTAACTTTTTTAGTTGTTGGTTATTATTATGCTGCTCCAAACTTAGGGACAGCTAATAATAACCTTAGAGACTGATCCTGATCGCATGTCAGAATCAGATCTCACTAAAGGTTTCTGATCGTGCCCAGATGATCAGAAGTGATACATTTCAGGCAAAGAGATACATTGTAATATTCCTGTGCCTGAAATATATCGCACAACTTTGTAAACATCGGGCCAGTCTATCGAGCTGTCAAGACGAATAGCAGAGAGGTGACTAACTCTGCTACCTCTCTGCTAGCTTAGCTGTCAAATACTGGACTGCTATTTAGCGATTCGGTATTTGTATGTAACAGCTTCATTCTTTCATTAATGAAAGAAAGGAGCTTTTACAAAAGCTTAACTATTTCATTAATGAATGCCTCAAAATGGAGGCATTCATTAATGAGTGGTAAGCGCTGAGAATCAGCGCTTACCAGCATTACAGAGCCAAAGTGTATGTGTCAGTCATTTGGGCACCTCGTGGTGGGACATACAGTGTAGGTCTCCCATCATGAATGGGTTACAATACTTAGAATTTCATGACTGTGACCTCCCTATATTCAATTAAATGCTGCATTCTGCATATTGACAATTTTTGTGTGACAACTGAATACTGAGAAATATGTAATTGAAGTCTGTTTACAAAAAGCGTAAAGATTATTCACATTGCAAAGTGAGTGTTCACTTGTCCTAATAAATATAGTGAAGATGTGCGTGTGATCACATGCAAGCAAAAATACAGCTTTTTAAAAAAGTTTCCTGGAACATAATTGAAACAAATTTGTTTACGAACAGACACCCCATTTGCCTTTAGTAAATCAACCTCAGAAGATATTTAACTCAACAGAAAATATATTGCCCATTCTTGCTTACAGTATATAAAAATCCAATCAATAAGGCAAAAACACTTAAAGTGGACCTTTACCCCCTTTTACTCGAAATCACATCAGCATGCAGCTCTGCATGCTGATTTAAAATCATCTTACATTCATTAGCTAAACACACTTGTTTTTTAGTTACTTACACATAGAGTTCATCTACTTCCTGGTACAGTTTTGGCACAAATGATGTATGTGTCAAAGCTTTGTATCTAGGGAATGTTGTAACAGCAGATCATTGCTGGGGGGAAATCTCATCTGATCATGAGATCTCAGGGAAAGGCATTTTTCTCCCCTGAGCTGTTGTGCATGGTCATATGTGCATGTCACATGTGTCAGAGATCAAAGAAATAAATGGAGATCTAGTAACCTGCCCTAAGTAAACATGGCAACTGTCAGAAGACTGGGAAAGAAAAGAGAAATAAGGTATGCAAAGAGTACAAAGCCAGCAATTATCTACAAGTACTGTATATGTTTGTAGATTGTCATTACTAAACATTTCTAAAGATGTGTTTGTTGTTATTTTAAAGATATGGGTAAAGGTCCATTTTAACATCAAGGCTAACAGGAAAAATTATGCTAGTTATAGCTGAGCTGTAAACATCTAATTAACATAATATTACATTAAGGGATGTGCTAACCATCAGTTCAAGACAGCAAGTTGAACACAGCACACGGAGGGGATTACACAGATAAAGATACCGTTGGTAGAGGGCAAGGTGAAAACCCACCAATAAAGATGTGGCCATAGTGAAAGAAGCTTTTTGGGGGGAAGGCTCTCACTGCACAGAAGCCAGCGTTCAAAAAGTCATGCATCTGCCCATAGCTCCTTTTAATCAACTCCACCTGGCCTACCCCCTCTAGCACTCAAAAGATTACTCTCCTTTCACTTTGTTATTGCATGGCCAGATTATGACTGACAAAAATGCTTCCAGATAGTCAAGAACCCCTTTCTCTAGGGTACAAAGACCTATTCAGGGACTTTATTGGTTTAAAACATAATCATTTCTTGGGAAAAGATAATGTTTTACTTTTTCTCTCTCTGCTCTCAAATTTTTGTTCTAGTTTAAGGGACAGAGTCATTGCCATCTGTGTACATTCATCATCTATTAGACTAGAAAAAAACAGACAATATGTATAAGAAGAAATTGAAGTCTCTGTCCTCATTTTTTTGACATAAGCCAACAGCTGACTGACTGACTATCCCCACAGCAAACAAGGAGTCAGTTACAATAACAAAAAAACTGAATAATACATGACATGTATGCTTAGATCATACTGTATGTAAAGGTTAATTTATCAAAGCTATGACAGTGAAGCTTTTCTTTTTTTTATATATTTTCTTTTTTCCTTATCTTATATTACTTTTTCCTATTTATGAGGGACTGTTTCAGATCAGAAATTTAGTATGGCATAGAATGCTTATTTGACAACACTCACAATTGCACATTTTACTAATGTAAAATGATAAGATGTCGCTATGTGTTGTCTATAAATACTTAAAGTGTAATTATAATAATATTAAAATATCTCCCATTTTTTTCCTACAAGGTTTTCTCTGGATCGCCACACTGACCTTGACAGAATTTTTAATATACACTCAGGAAATGGATCAATTTATACTGCAAAACCCTTGGACCGTGAAATATCCCAGTGGCATAATCTTAGCATCATAGCTACGGAAATTAGTAAGCTATTTCATAATCATACTTGTTTACTGTGTATTCTTCACTGCACTACCATCAATTGCTTTAATCGCTGAAATCCTATTCTGTGACCATAATATCTTTTAAAAATTATGTGCTTCAAATGAAGGACTTATTTATACATTCAGACAGAGTATGTACAGAAATTCAGTATTTCCCTCAGGTCACACTTTGATTCTCTCTGATTGTCAGTGCTATACTCTCCTTACAAAGCCTTTTATTTTCATCCAATTTGTAAATGGCATACATGTAACCTGTGGGACAAGGACCTATATGTTTTATCGTCTAAAATGTTATTTTAATTCTTCTTTGCCCTAATGCACATTATATTGCAGGTTTACATTGTTGATCTATATGTGTATGTTAGTAAAGCAGTGCTATTATCCTTCTTTTAAGAAAAAATACTGTCATCACAAAGCCACTTTACAAATAGTTTTCTTAAAATGTGAATGATTTATGAATGAAAGAGCAACTTCTGTAGTGCAATATAGTAATGTATATACAAAGTAAAATATAAAAAGCTTCAGCGTTATCTGTATTGTTATTCAGAGGTCAGCAGTTCTGATTTGCATTTTCTTCCAGGGACATATAACAATTGTATTTGTGTTTTCAAGAAACAAAACCAAAGGGGACATATTTAATAATATTTTGATTTAACAAAAGAGATACAAGCCCACACTAGCCCTAGCTCTATAAAAGAAAATCTGTGAGTGGCTCCCTCACTATTGATATCAGCTAATTGACATTGACCTGAGTTTCAAGAGAAGTGGTTCCAAACATTTTTTTTAAATTGACCAATCCATGCAAACCAGGCAGATAAGTGAAAGGAAGGAATGTGTTACAAAGCAGAACATTGAATAGACAGGTGAACATGTGAAAATGTAAACATTAGATATATTGTAATATACTGTAGAATATATATACAGTGTGTATATATACAGTGTGTATATATACAGTGTGTATATATATATATATATATATATATATTTTAT